TAAAATACCATCAGTTTTAACATAATCCAATAACATCATAAACATATCTCATCCCTACCTAATTTGTTTTGCAGAAATTCGGATGATCTTTTAAATACAGGAAGGCCTGCAATCATTTACCTATTGACTTAGAAAATAGTTGTACTTCTATGGCCAGCAATATCTTACAGTATTTTGTCATTCTGTCCCTCTCTAATATCATCTCTTTGGCTTTACGACACATTCCAGAACTTTTCCCTTCTTTGGAACGTCACATATTGAAATCTCTGTCTTTAAGATATCCTCCTTTCCTAATCGTTTGAAATGTTAATGTCTTTTCTTGCTTCTGACTGCAACTTAAATATTAGATCCTCAGGAAGCGTTTTTCTGGAAATGCTCCCTAAGGTGTGTCACTCGCTATAATTCTGCTGTAGATCAGCCTTTCACTTGTCCATTAGTTTACTCACCTAATATTTACTGAGTGCTTATATCCCCCAAAATACTACTGTCACCTACTCATTCTGTTCATTCCAATTTGTGACTATAATTTCTGCCTCCCAAACTGGACCCCAAACTCCATGAGAGGAAAAGTTGTTTATGTTTTGTTCAGCACTGTATCCTTTCTCTGATATGGCAGACAATCAAAAACTATTTCTAGAATAAATGTTTAATGTTATTCAGAATTTGCTTGTTTTCCTTTAGGCTTCCAATATAGTATTTATTTCATTAAAATTTTATATCGTAGGTAATTATAAATAGCCATTTTATCTAATAGCATGTAGCTTCCTTGAGACAGAAATTATTTCTCCATCATTATTATGTCATTCAAAAGAGTTGGCTTAGTCATTTTGGAACTAAAATCACTTGGTGAAATGAACTGATAGCTGACCTTAACTTTGGGGTTTTTATCTAATATCTAAATTGAATGTGTCCTAGAAGACCTGGCTTTATTATATTTTTAAAAGCATGTATAGGAAATGGTGTTGGGGCACAATGGGTTGAGCTGCCACTTGGGGTATCCACATCCCACACTGGAGTGCCTAGTTTGAGTCCCAGCGACTCTTCTTCTGACCCAGCTTCCTGTTCCTGTTAATAAGCCTGGGAAGGCAGCAGGTGATGACCCAAGTGCCTGAGCCTTTGCCACCAATGTCAAAGACATAGATGGATTTCCAGCTTCTGGTTTCAGCCTGGCCCAGCCCTCTATGATGTGGGCATGCCAGGAATAAACCAGCCAACAGGAGATATCTCCCTTTCTGTCTTTCACTCTCTTTGTGTCATTCTACCTTTCAAATTAATTAAGTTTTTAAAAAATGCTGGGCTTCTAAATCTCCTCATGTGCTGGGTTAGAGAGGTCCTTTCTGAAAGCTCTGTGTAAAGAGACCTTCCTCATTCTTCTAAGTTACTCTATACCACTGCTCTAGTTATTTCTTATCAATGTAGCACTAACTAAAATTACCTCATTTACTTATTGACAAGTGTATGATCAACCTCCTCAGTCTAGAATATAAGTACAATGCTAGAAATCTGGGTCTGCTCATGGCCACTATCTCATATGCCTAGAACAATGTTTTGGATACAGTAGAACATGCATAATAAATATTTGTGGAATGAATGGATCAACGCATACATAATTAAAATACACCACTGCCATTTATTATAAACCATTGACCAACATATCACTCTTGAACTGAATGTCAGCCAAAATCCACAAGATAGCCTTAAAAGCCTTTCTAGATTCCAAGTGGAAGTCACGTGAGTCCTCTCATATAGAATGGGATAGAAAGGGAAAAAGGGGTAACATGGTAGTGAGTTACTAACACGTGCCATAATATAAAAGATTTCCAGAATTGGGCTTTTCCCCTCTGTGCATCTTCAGGAATGAGTACAATTCCTGGCTCATGGGAAATCTGTAACAGATGCTTGTTGAACTGATCTGAAATTAGAACAAAACCCTATACTAGGACATTTGCTACTATAAACTCCAGCATCATTCAAACTATATTTAAACCATATTTACTTATTTATAAGTATCATTTAAATAGATGAATATAAATTCCTGTTGGCTAATTTTCAGTGATTTACTGAAATGCTCTATTTAAAAATGTCAAGTGGCCATTAGCAGTAAACCTCTAAGAATTTATCTGCTATAATATTCCTACTTAAATATTGTCATTGCCTTATTTCACTTTATTGGTTTATTTTTGAAAATCTCTTTGAAATTGCTGAAAGTTTTTAATAGCAATTCATTCTCAGTTTAAGGTGATTAAAACGCATGGAGTAGAAAAAGAATGTGAACTTTTCATGGATTTGGGGGCTGCTAGAGGGAACTTGCACTTGAGTGAGGCCAAAAGGCAAAGTCTTAACTTGCTCTGAGCCAGGTTAAAACAAATTCGATTCGTGTGATTATTTCTGTAGACTCATAACGAGGTTGTTTGGGACCTCTCACTAAAATTCACTTTCTTCCCTTGATCTGTAACTTATTTTAGTCATCTTCAATACAAGTATCTCTGAATGTACCGTACTAATATTACTATTTAAAGCACTGCAGATGATACTAAAAACACTTATTTATATTTCTACTTCATATTTATTTTTATAGTTTTGTTTTGTCTTATTCAGTTTCTATCCATATGCATGGAGTCTCAGGAAGTATGAATCCTCCTCGTCAAAACAGACATTTAACTACCAGGTCTGTTCTGATCTCTTTCAAACAAGGCAAATAAACAAGGATGGAACCATGTACCCTCTCACACCTGCAGTTCAGGTGTTTATGATCAAAATGGAGCTTCCTCTGAAGAATCTCATGCTCAGATTTATTAGCTCAAGTTATACAGATTAAAGTGACTTTAAAAAGTATCTACCCTCTTTTGAAAGGGGATCTAATTGGCAATGAAAAACCATATGTTCTTTCTGACAAGAACAAATTCTGAAATAGACAAAGGTCATGTTTCTCTGGCTGCAGTGCTATTTTCAAATTTTAAATATTAACAACATTGTGCTTCTCTTCAAGAGTATATTCTATACTATCTCTCAAAAGTGAGCTGTTTAACTTAGCTATTAATGGAAGCTGTGATGGCCTCATGCAATGCCTAGCAAAGATTGAGCTCCTTTAATGGCTGAGTCACTCTATCCAATACTTCCCATAATTTATCTCTAATGTCTCCAACAATGCTTCAAAACAAATGCCATTTTCACTTCACCATGAGAAACCCACAAGTGGACAACATACTCAAGGTCAGAGTTCCCTGAGGGTCATGGCTGAGATGAACTGAAACTGAGATCTTTCCGGCTCTACATGAGTGGTGAACACTCTCTAGCTTGGTCTCTCATCAGACAAGTCAGCTTGGCTTCTTAAAACTCAGATTCCCGGGTCCTGCCCCCACAGTTTCTGTTTCAGAACATTCTGGGTACCATCTGACCTCCTACATGCTCTCAAGTTCAGAGACAACGCTGCTGCTTCTCTTCCTAGATCACAGGTTAGAAGCTACCATCCTGCACCATGCTCTTGGCTGGAATGTAAGCTCCGGCAGTAAGGCCAGCCCAACACTGATTCTCCAGGGATTTTATGTAGACTTTTACGTAACTTGACATATTACCAACCTAACAGTTATCAAGGTATTTACAGATGCTATTTGTGGAATTTCAGACAACTTTGGCTTTTGCTGTACTCTTCTCAATATGTACAAGTAATTCTTATTATTAGTGAGTAAAGAGATGGTGACATTTGAGAAAAAATAAAACAGGAAAGCTCAGAATTATTTCATTTACCAAGATCCCAGCATTATAGCACCTGATTCAGGGAGGATAAAATACACACACATATACACAGTTGTACAAGTATATATGAGAATAGATTTAAGAATTTATGAAAATTCAGTTAAGATACAATTTTATTTTGCTGTGAAACTTTTTTGAAATCCATGACTAATTGTAAATAGAGATTACATCTACAACATATTATATATACATACTATATCATATGTGTACATAGATACACACATTCTTATCTGTAAAGCAGACATAAATTTACATATTTACTTTAGCTTAAACTAGATTAGTCAAGAAGAGCTGAGTCCAAATTCTGAATCAGGTGCTTACTATCCATTTATCCATGCCAAGTAAATTCAATGCATTAAATTCCCTTTCCTTGTCTCCTTGTGTTCCCTCCTTCCTTCCTCCCTTCTCCCACCTCCTCCTATCCCCTCCTCTCCAGACCTTCCCTTCCCTCCTCCTTTCTTTTTCTTTTTTTAAGATTTATTTATTTATTTGAAAGTCAGAGAGAGGAAAGTCAAAGAGAGAGAGAGAGAGAGAGAGACAGAGAGACAAAGAGACAGAGCAACAGAGAGAGGTCTTCCATCCAATGGTTCACTCTCCAATTGGCCGCAATGCCAGAGCTGCGCCTATCTGAAGCCAGGAGCCAGGAGCCTCTTCTGGGTCTCCCACATGGATGCAGGGGCCCAAGGATTTAGGACATCTTCTGCTGCTTTCCCAGGTCATAGCAGAGAGCTGGATTGGAAGTAGAGTAGCTGGGTCTCCAACCAGCACCCATATGGGATGCCAGCACTGCAGGTGGTGGCTTAACCCACTGCGCCACAGCGCCGGCCCCCACTCCTTCTTTCTCAGTGTTACACAATCTGCTTACCAGTCAGGCAAGGGTTATCTGGGCCTAGGAATCTTGTCCCCATTTGCTCCTAAGGTCCTGTTTGATGTACAAGGCAGTGCTACCCAGTTCTTTTGTTTGTTTTTATTTTTGTGGTTTTTCTTTTTGTTTCTCAATAGATTTATTTATTTATTTATTTATTTGGAAGGCAGAGTTATATAGAGGCAGAAGGGAAGGGAGGGAGGTAGGGAGGCAGGGAGGGAGGGAGGGAGAGGGGTCTCCCATCCCACTGGTTCACTCCCCAGCTGACCACAACAGCCAGAGTTGGGCTGATCGGAAGGTAGGAGCCAGGAGCTTCTTCCAGGTATCCCATGTGGGTGCAGAGGCCCAAGGACTTAGGCCATCTTCACACCTTTCCCAGGCCATAACAGAGAGCTGGATCAGAAGAGGAGCAGCTGGGACTTGAGCTGATGCCCAAATGAGATGCCAGCACTGCTTTACCTGCTGTACCACAGAAATGGCCCCGCTGCCCAGCTCTTAACACTTCTGGGCCCCATTCTGGGCAACCAACATGCCAGCACATGACAAGAACTCATCCAGGTCAGCCTTCACCTTCATTCAATTCAAAATTCAGAAGACAGTTTCCTTTCCAGAGACTTCAGTGACACAGACAAGGGCATCACTGAAGTACATGGAGATTGAACAGAGATTCCCTTGGCTACCCTCAATTGTTACGTGGGCTCTTTAGATAGATCTAGGAACTCAACTAACACATAAGCTGATAAAGCAAAGTACACACATTTCATTAATTTGACATGTGTGTAGGGACATTCACAAGATAGTGAAGCCCACAGAAATGACCAAAACATGATGTTTTATACTTTCTAGACGAAGAACAGCAAATCTGTGCAGGAATGACAAAGACAAATAGCTATCTGGACTAGGGTAGTAAACTCTAGGAATGTTATTAAGAGAAATCTGGGAAGCAGGAGAGGGAAGCACAGAAGTCAGGGAACATCAGAGTGACTCGACAGAGTTTGTTTACTCAGGTTCACTGCAGCTCCCATTACCAGTCTCTGGTAATCAAGGCAATTTCCCAGCCTGGGTGTGTGAAGGGCATCCCCCTCTAAGGAACTCCTAGGGCTTGCTGCGCAGAGCAAAAGATGGGCCATGTGACCCTTTGAGAAGTCAGTTCCTCAAGTGAGTTCAGTTTGAAATCAGCAGCATGCCAAGGAGGAATGTGTTGAGATGACATGCACTTTGCTCATTTAGGTGCAAAGATGCGGCGCGTGCCAAATACATTTCCTCCTCGAGTCATGTGAAGTCCAAGGATGCTGACCTATTCTTCCTTCTTTTCCTTCCCCTTTTCAGGTGCCAGTTGGACTGTCATCTCCAAGCTGTGCCTTCGGAAAGACAAGTAAGGAGAGGACAGAGCTGTCTGCACATTGAGAAGACTGAGCTAGAATCACACATCTCATAGTTAAAAGTCTTTCAAAAGACTCTAAGCATCAAAAATTCAGTCTGGCTATATACACTGTGCTGGTAGAAACCCTTCTTTCAGGATGTAAAGGAGAAAAAAAAAACCAAATACCAGTCACTTTACATTGTGAGGTCATGGAGACAAGACCAGAACAAGCTAAAGAGTGTTTGACAAGGGAGTTAAAGGTGCAGGGCCACTTGGCCAAAATGCCCCTGCTACAGTTTTACATTTTAAATGATATCATATTACATGATGACAGCACATGACCACTTTCTATTCTTTGAATTATAATCACTAAAGGAAACACCCCAGCATTTATGAGATGGTGAGTGCATCTGTCACTATGGCCTTCTGGCCCAAATCAAAGTGATCAGAGCTATTAAGACGATTTCCCTATTTGGCTAGGTTTTAAAGACTATAGTTTTGAAGTCTGTGGCAGATGACCTACTAATGGTATTTAATGGTTCTCTCAACAAATCATCAAGTACCTTGAATGACCCACTGGTTAAGCATGTAAAAGGAAAATTCTAGCTTTAATAATTTAATCCTTGATTTCCTTCTGTTTTGCTTTTGGACAGTGATGGATGTTTTATTTTCACCTTCAAAGAAGCAAGAGGAAAGTAAGAAAGATGTGGAAGAGTGAATAAAGATTTGTTGAGCACTAGGCTGGACATCTGATATGAGCTGTCTCAGTTGATCTTTACCACCCTACACGTGAGATAAACATTATCCATACTTGCAAATGATGAAGAGGTACAGAGAAGCTACATCATTGAGGTCACACTGCTGGAGAGCAATGCAGTGGAATTTCAATGTGATCTATCAGAATGAAGAGCTCAAGCGTATTTGTGATGTGTTTCGCAGAAAGAAATGCAAGGTATCTCTCCATGGTATGGGTAATGAAAAGAGACACAATGAGACACAAAGTTTATTGAAGGCCAAGAAAAGACACACAGTCAGGGCCGGCACTGTGGCATAGTGGGTAAAGCCGCTGCCTGCAGTGCTGGCATTCCATAATGGCGGCTGGTTCAAGTCCCAGCTGCTCCACTTCTGATCCAGCTCTCTGCTATGGCCTGGAAAAGCAGTAGAAAATGGCCCAAGTCCTTGGGCTCCTGCACCCGCATGGGAGACCCGAAAGAAACTCCTGGCTCTTGGTTTTGGAGTAGCCCAGGTCCAACTGTTGAGGCCATTTAAGAAGTGAACCAGCAGATGGAAAACCTATCTCTTGCTCACTTGCTCACTCTCTCTGCCTTTGCTTCTCTGTAACTCTGCCTTTCAAGTAAATAAATAAAATCTTTAAAAAAAGGAAGACATAAAGTCATATTTACAGATGCAGTATTTCTTTAATAGTATTGACACTTTAAAAAAAATGAACATTGTAAGCAAGCAAATCATGAGTGTCATGCAATCAGAGAAACCAAGGCAACAAGGCAAGAGATTCAAGGTCCACCCAGATATGAAGGGAAACAAAGAAAATTTGAGCAGGAGAAGCCCACCTAAACTCACATGCTAAGAGATTGCAAGCCAGAGCAGACCTGTACAACATGGGGATTCTGTCGTCCCAGTCACAGCTGCCTCATTTTTTTTCCATCTTAGCAAGCCATCTAATCAATGGCCTGGAAACAAGGGGCAAACTGTTGGCCCAGGAAACCAAGTTGAGGAAAGTCAGAGCAGGCAACTCTTAAGAAAAAAAGATTCTCACCCTGGAAGTTGGTGATTACATTCTACAAGGCTGATGTGTCTATTCAACATAAAATTAACTTCAAAATCACTTCTAGGTGATTTCTACTTGCCATTTTCCAGATATAGAAAGGAGACACAGACCAGAGAGAGAAGTTTGAAGAATGACACCCATCTATTTCCATTCACACTCTGATCTGAATATTCCCAAAATGCTATTATTTTTTCTTCGTATTTTCCTTAATGTTTTAACACAATGGCCAAATAAATGAGTTTGCATCTTACTCTCAGAACAAAATTTCTTAACTGTGATGTGTGGGATTCATTGTTTTTGTAACACAGTAGGAGCTGTAACCTAAGGTATCTTCTGCTGTGGGCAGGGTCCCACAGAGGCATGAGAATAAACTGTGTTTCTCACTTGCATGTACAAGAGAAGACATACATTGATTACATGATTAAATTCCCTACCACCGTTGATTAAAAAAAAATTCTTCACTGCATGAACATGCACTACAGAGGTGCAATGTGATTTCCAAGAAAAAAAGAAAACTTTTTAAAACAAAACCTTTTTAATACAATTATCAATTTTCAACTCCATTCTTGATTGCTTGTAAGGACATGTGAAAACACCGTTTATTTCTGGCACTAAATACCCAGAGAGGAAGTGCCCTTTATTCTAAGGAAGCAAATAGCGAAACAGGGAATCAGCAATGCAGGTGGAGTACTGATTTTTTTTGATCTTTATAGGAAGAGATCCCTCTAATAGTAAAAAACAGAGTTGAAGGTCTGAAATAAAACCTTAAGTCATTCCTTGAGGGTGAGGACCTGCATAATCTACTTCTGTATCCACTGAAAGAGTAGAAGGCAAGAATATGAGATTTTGTCTAAAACAGTATTTATCTGCATGTTTAAGAATCTATTCAGGCCGGCGCCGTGGCTCACTAGGCTAATCCTACGCCTTGCGGCGCCGGCACACCGGGTTCTAGTCCCGGTCGGAGATTCTGTCCCGGTTGCCCCTCTTCCAGGCCAGCTCTCTGCTGTGACCAGGGAGTGCAGTGGAGGATGGTCCGAGTACTTGGGCCCTGCACCCCATGGGAGACCAGGATAAGTACCTGGCTCCTGCCTCCGGATCAGCGCGGTGCGCAGGCCGCAGCGCACCGGCCGTGGCAGCCATTGGAGGGTGAACCAACGGCAAAGGAAGACCTTTCTCTCTGTCTCTCTCACTGTCCACTCTACCTGTCAAAAACAAACAAACAAATAAACAAAAAAACCCTTGATGGCAGCATTTTGTTATAGGACCAGAAACCAAAAAAAAAAAAAAAGAATCTATTCAGGTCTTTTCTGAACTAACCCCACTTTCCTTTTTGAGACTTAACTATATGTTGTGTGTTGAGGTATTGGTATTTGTACTGACAAGAGTAGTTTTATCACATTAATGCTTTCATACATATGTCACTGCTATCAGATTATGTTTATCCATTAAGCAGATATTTCATCAAGCACTAACTATGCACCAGAAAAAAAATAAATTACTCTTCCTGCTCAGAGGCCAAAGGTCAGCAGGCCCAAGTTAAAAAAGAATGGGGATTTTGATTTGATTGAGATTTATCGTCATGTCTTAAAATGGAACTAATACTAGTAGTTACTTCATAAAATTTCTGTTAGAATCCAATCAGATTATATAGGCAAAGTTCTAAGCCACTGGCTTAATGTGTTACATATGTTCAACATATTAGCTATCATGCTAGCAGAGTGCCTGACATATGCCAGAGCTTTAATATTTGCAGAATGAATGATGTAAGATTGATTGCACACAGGATTTAACATAGTAGTGACCTTGCAAATTACAAGTGCTTATCACAGACACTGATTCCTAGGTTCTAGCCATTTAATTCGTTCTCTACAGGTTTGCATATACAGTGAGGTTTACCCTGAAGACATCCTGTTTTCAAAGACACAATGTACAGCTAACTTTTAAGTCTATTTTAGTCATAGGCACAGCAAAAATCACACTGGATTGGAGAAAACCTAGCACCTTCAATGATTTCTTCCCCCAGATTCATGCTTGTCATTGGAATTCACTTCCTAGACTTCTCTGGACTTTTTTATTCCTCCTGTAAAATGAGGAGGATTTGACTAAATTTTATAGTTTTCCTTCTAGCATTAACCATCTGTGATTCTAAATCATTTTCACAGTAAGACTCTGAAAGGCCTTTAAAAATGAGATGAATAAAAAGTCAGCTTTTGGTTTACCTCTATGACTTTCCTTGTTTGTACGGGTAAATGTAATTAACATAATAATGATCATTGCTAACATTGTCTGAGAAATTCTAAATGCCAGACAACTTAAGTGCCTTCACCTAGATTTTCTCATTTCACACTCAAAACAAGCCCAAATAAAGTATTATTATCTACGTTTGAAAGAAAATCTAACAAAAGCCCTCTCAAACTTAGAGAAGTATATTGCCCAAGGTCATACAAGCATAAGTTAAAAGCAGAATGAGGACATCTGGTCTTAAACACGGTAGACCGTACATGTAGCAGATTCTATAGATACTTAGCATGCATTCCAACAGGGACACAAACACAGTCCTGCCTTTCACCCCAGAAATGTGCTTGCTCTTCAAAAAAAAAAAAAAAAAAAAAAAGTTTTACCTTTTGAATAAATCTCACAAGTACAGAGCCCTCTTCTTGGGTCTGAGTTGATAAGTTAGGGACTACAGGGGGTGTGGGAGATGTCAAATGGCCAGAGACATAATTTTGTCAGCTGGCCCATGGGGCTAATGTGTAGGGAAAGATGGTGGATGTTCCTGAAAATGAGAAGCCTCTAAGTAAAATTTCTGGATGGAAACTTTTCCTTTGGACTCCATGGTGATTGCAAAAATAGACCCTATTCTGATGGTATATTGGTGAAGGTCACAAAGTTTATTGTAGTTTTATTATTACTTTAGTGTCTGAAATTTATAGGTAAAATGAAGAGGTTTAATCAAATGAAGAGGTTTAATCAAAGAGGTTTAAAACAAATGGAGAGTTTTTTTTAATGCAAACTTATCTTGTATCATTCACACTGTGGAGAAAAACACACATTTGTATTTTAAAGAGGGAAAAAAAAGAATGAACCATTCATGTATTCTACAACTCTGGTACATATATTAAGTGAATCCAAGTACCTGAATCCACTTCATATACCAAGAGCTCTATGGATTTCATTTCTCCAACATGAAAACATCTGAAAGATTTCTCTACTCTGAAATAGTTAATTTCAAATTTTCTCAAGGTATTCTCCTCTGAGCCCCATTACCAACACATGATTGTCACTGGAACATGGCTTTACTGACACATTGGTGTTAAAAGGCAGTGACAGAGCCAACAGGAGCAAACTGAAGCCATTTATATATACTGTAGAACTACACTGACAATCCAAAGGAACACGCCATCTGCATTCTATGTTGCTGCAACCTACTGAACTGTGGGTTTGCAATTTCAGAATGCAGAATGTCATGCCCGGCTCCACTTTAGGGAGCTCCCACAGCTGCTACTTTTGCTTCCCTGCCTCCAGAATTCTGATGCTGAAGTTAATATATGAGGACATTCTTGTGCAGTGATGGAGACATGGCAGTAGGGCATGCTAGTGCACCATACATTTTTGTGCATTTATTTATTCAAGCTGTGTGGCCTTTTTTCTCCCCCTTTCCTTTTGCAACTTATCAACCTGAGCCCTCAGACACTCACACCCACACAATGATCTCAGCAGGCAAGGAGGAAAAGCAAAAGCAAATGCACTTTAGGAAAAGAACAGGAAACCGACACTGAAATGGCCATTACCGGGCATTTCAATTTCACCTGTGGTTTCAGCTTCTGCTCCAAGTGTATGCAGTGAATGTGGCCTGATTACCTTAATTCAGTGATATTGGCAATAATCACAATGGCAGGCAGTGCCTAAGAGATTGCCCTTGACAGCAGAGTTGCAGAGATGGAGATATGAAAAATTTCCGTTGAGTACAACACACAAAAGGAATAATAGAGAGATGCTCAGGAATCCATTTCCTGGTAGAAGGGTAGATGGCAAAGACCTGAATTCTTTTAGTGATTAACTGTAGGTTTGATGAGTTGATCTCTTCCTAGTCCCTCCTAGCATCACAATTCTCAATTCTGTGAGTGAAAAAAGGGCTGAGATAAATAACCACCAGTCATCTGAGTGCTGATTTGACTTAGGATGGGGAAAAGAAAGTTTTAAAAAATGAATGAGAACTAAATATAAAAATAAAATCAATTGATTTCAAAGGCAAAACACCAAAGGCCATTCCTTGAATAAGAAGAATCACAGCCTACTCAAAGAATCCTTTTGAGTTGCATAATTGAGTGCTGAGAGGAAGCAAAGATTCTGCCTTTGATGACCATGGCTACTTTAACTTAGGGGAGCTATGGCAGGAGGGGAATCAGACATGGGGTGAAGGCAAGGGTTAGGAATACTGCATGTCACCAATGCAATTAAATAGACTGAAGAAGGACCAGGGGATGATAAGATGACATAAAACACCGGTTTTGAAGGGTATGCAGAGGAAGGCTGGGGTAGCACAGATCCTATACTCTTGATTTTGTGACACTCTCAGAAAAGCCGAATTAGCCACAACAAAGCATAGCTCTTTATAGAAGAGCTTACCTCTTGCCTACACAACACGAGCACCAGAATTCCAACTGTAATTACCACTTTGAGTTCACTTATTTCAGGTTTCCTCAATGGCAAGACCTCAAGAAATTCTTAACAGACATTAAATGGACAGAAAAAACATTAGCTGGCTGTGACTGACTCCATGCAATGGGAAGCCTTCTATAAAGTTTATAAAAGTACATTTAGATAATGCACACATATGTGGGCATTTCAAAATGTTTATGGAAAATGGAATTAAAAGTTCATTTGTTAAAAGAAAATTATACGATCATTCCTAAGTGTGGGATCCTCAAAAACTTCATACAAAATGTGTACTACATAAAAACTATGCACAGATTTAAAAAAAAAAAATTGCACCAAAATAAACTTATGTTTCAAATTCATTTTTCTAAGAAATTTTAGAAGTATGTCCCACAAACACTCACACCCATATAGTTGTGTGAAGTGTATATGTTCAAATGTCCTTGAAAATTCTGGAATTAAAAGATAATGGGTGGGCCACTGTTATGGTACAGGGGGTTAAGCTGCAACTTCCCATACTGGAGTGCCAATTTGAGTCCCCTCTCTCGCGGTTTTGATCTAGCTTTCTCAAATGTACCTGGGAAGGCAGCAGAAGATGGTCCAAGTACTTGGGTCCCTGTCACCCACATGGGAGACCCAGATGGAGTTAGAGGCTCTGGGCTTTGGCCTAGCCCAGACCTGGCTGTTGCAGCCATTTGGGGAGTGAACCAGTGGCTAGAAGATCGGTTTCTGTCTCTCCCTCTCTCCCTGTTGCTCTTTCAAATAATTATTAAACACATCTTTTAAAAATCCCAATACATGTATTCATATATATATATACACAAAGCACACTTTCATGAAATTTGTGAATACTCCTAAATATGTACACATATCATACTTATTTGTAGCTATGTGTACTCTTACATTTGCACACATGTATATGCAAGTATGTCTGTATACTCATCTCTAAGTGAAAATAATAAAAAGTGGGCTTCTGCGATCTCCCTTTAATTCCTCCTCAGAAATAAATGTAGAAACAGACACTTGTGACCACAAGAAAGGTTTCCTCCCAGATTCAATTTTGTCTTCCACTTCACTGGCTGCCCTGAAGACTGCATCACTTGAAAAATGCTGTTTGGTTCCAATATTGCATGTCGTGTGAACAGCTCACACTGGAATGACCATTTATATCAGGTTGGTTTATCAAGCAGAGATCAGGCAATATCTCCATTTTTGGTTTTCTATAATTTATTCACTCATTCTTTCACTCAACAAATATTTATGAAGCACCTATTACATGGCAAGCCTTATTATAGCATATAGCACTGAGCATAAGGGATAAAAAAAATCCCTGTTCTTATGGAGCTTACATTCTTACATTATATAGTTAAATAAATAAACAAGCAACTGTCAGTTTATGAAGCATTATAAAGGGAAATAGGGAGTAAACAGCCAGTAGGGAATACAGAACTTTATATATCAAGCAAGTTAGTGGGGAGAGATAATGTGTGAGCAGAACCTGGAAGGGAGTGAGGGAGGGAGCCATGCTAATACAATGTTCTAAGCAAGTGACAAAGCAAGGGACAAAGAATCCAAGCAGAGACTTGAGCACAAGTCTTCCCAAGTAGATCTCTACTTTGTGATCTACCTACACCTGTTTCTGATTTTCTCTGTCACCTAACAAGGGTTTGGGAATTAAGAATACTTGTTACTCTCTATCACTTCATTCTATGAATTGCCCATGCCAGATACCCAGGGTACACTCATGTTCTTCAACTAGCAATCCTGGTCATGAGGGCTCTCTGTCCTTCTGTTTCTTCCTTGTCTTTACTTTGGGAATAGTCAGGATTTTACAGCTCCTACAATACTCAATTTTCAAGTTTAGTACTACTTTAAACAAATCATCTGTGCTGTACCTGTTAGTTAGCCTGTAACACTTTTCAATGCTTTCTCTTTCCCTGTATTAAAACATCATTCCTGCAACAGAAGCCTATTCATTTCATGGGAATCTTTGTTCCAGTTCAGCTTAATTTCACTCTGTGAATATCTCAGTAATCTGCTATAAGAAAGCATCATATGTGGGTCACTTTGCATATTACTACTTGTCAAAGGATAATGTATAGAGCACCAAATTAATAGAGAAAAATGGTCATGTCATCTAATTATCTGTGAAATTCTTAGGGCAGGTTGGTTAAAAATAAGTTAACAACCATATGGTACCATCTTACCTATTAATTTTGCAAAAATTACAAAATAATGATGCAATCTAATGCTGCCCACCTTGCAGCTGAATTACAACTGTGGTTAAATTATCAGTGGTAGTGTAAAATGATAAAAGTCATGATTAGGTGTTTGATAATGTTTGGAGAGCTACAGAGGTTTTAATCCTCTGTAATCCATTAAAACCATTTCTAGAAACTTACTCGATGTATATGGAATCACTTATTATAGCAAAATAAGGGATGCATCTAATTACTTAATATTCAGAGTGGTTAAGTAAAATTTAGAGCATCAATCCAATTAATGGTATTCAGTGATTAAAAAGAAAAACACTGAGGATTTGTCACATTGAAGTATGACTAGAAAAAAACATACAAAATCTAACTATTCTATGTAAAAATGTATCCAGACAAAGGTGAACTACAATGAAAATGGAAAAATGAAAACTTGATTTGCCAGGAATGGGTATTATGTAAACATACATTAAAAAATATATAAATATTCCATGCACTTCATGTATATAATTATTATAAATTAAAAATATTATTATAGCTCTAATGTTTCTATAATGAAGAAGTTTAATTTTAATGTTTTAGGCAAGCAAATTATTGACCGATCTTATGAAATTATATTAGATATTTCTTAAATATGTCAGGATATTGTTAAGACGCTATCTATCTCATCTTATGTAAAAATTCCAAGGCTCCTAACTATATTAAATCACATATTAAACATATTTTCTCATTTCTCTAAATTCAAGATTTTAATTCTCTTTAATGCCCTATTTTAATTGGAATGTTGCTAAATCCGTTGACAGTCTTACCAACCACTTTAACAGCCTTTTAATTTGTCGTCTAGAAAATTATAACTCTTCATTAACTTTGGGAGATACAGCATTGCAGTTGTGATATATCATTCCTCATTTTATTAACAATCTACTTAATGAAATTCAGGCTTCAAGCAGATGACAGTGATAATGTAAGCACTTGCCCTGGATTTTTTTTTTCTTTAACAAAGTTAAGAATTTACTGATAAGTACAATAGGAGAACAAACATTCGATTCTTAAGGAACACAAGAAGTAAAAACCTAAAGAGATTTTTGAAACCATATATATTTATACAGTTAATATTCATATTAATCTTTTCCAAAGTGCTCAATCTCTTTACAGTACCATTTGCCACAACCAGCAGCAATAATGAGAGGTTATGCCAGACACTCACTATTTATAAACATATCCTACTGGGATTAGGGGTGGGGAATGACAGTCTGTTGAAGGATCTTGGTGAACACAAAAGTCACATTCAGCACAGGAAGCAAGTGGAGTAAAAAGGACGTTTTAAAAATTTATTTATTTGTTAGTATGTTTTGGGAGACAAAGAAAAAGAGACACAACACCATTTGCTAGCTCACGCCCCATATGCCATATGCCCCATATGCCACAGCAGCCACAGCCAGGCCAGGCCAGAAGCTGGGAGCGTAGAATTCAATCCAGGTCTCTGATTTTGGTGGCAGGGACTCAAGTACTTGAACCATCACTACTGTTACCCAGGGTTTGCATTAGCAGGAAGCTGGAGTCAGAAGCCAGAGCTGGAGATCAAACCCAAGTGCTCCAATGTGGGACATGAACATCTAAGCTGGAGGCTTTACCACTAGGCCAAATAGCTGCCCCAAGGGGTCACTCTTTTAAGGACATTTGAGAGTTCTTTATTTCAAGTAGGATTCACATGTATTTGTCCAGTTAAAATATTTGCAGATACTTATTGCAGTAACCATACAGAATTAAAGTTGACTCGGTTTAGTCTGGGATCCTCCAAGTAAATTGAAGAGCTAGGGCAGAGGTTATGTAGAAGCAGAAATCAAGGGGTTGTAAGATCATTTATGGCCTTATTTCAGGGGAGAGCACTGAAGCTTGAGGAGTGTAAATGACTTGTGGAGATCACGAAGCAGGTTAGTGCCAGTCTTAGTAACATTCTGGAGGCCATGTAGCCACCTGGTCTATGGTTAGTCTCCACTTACCTAGGTGCAAAATGTCTCTCAGGGTTTCTCTCAGAAGGAATCACTGCTCTGTGATTCAAAGCACACCAAGCCCAAAAAAGGAAACACAGAATCAAAAATAAGGGTCAGGTCTTCCTCTCACTTGAGCCTGCCTTGCTGCGTTCCCCACAGGCAGCCCACACAGAGCCTCTGCTGACCCCTCCAGGAATAGGGGGCTTCATACTGAGTCATGCAGGCAGTGTCACGCAAACTGAAGAGATGGCTATGAAAGATGACTTCAGGGGGAAAAGGCACCCTCTCACAAGGTTTTGTTCAGGTTTATGTAGCCAATGTTGTAACACACTGAGATTAATTTTCACATAAGACCTATTTTTCCCATGGGAATCTGACATCATTTCATTTTTTGTTCCTTTCTCGTACGATGACACTGCCCTCCCTAGGGATGATTTGTTGCTTAGGTGGAAAGCTTCCCACAGACACACAGAAAATGAAACAGAAAAATCCCTCAAGTCCTGTCTTTGTCTCTTGATTCCATTTTTTTCCATCCTGGACAACTGTGTGCTTTGGATCACAATGCAAATAAACTCTAAGCAATATCTTCCAAGTAGGGCAAGCAGGCTAGCTTGTTATATGGTCTCTGCAATTTATTATTAATGATCTCAAGGCCACTTGGTTAATACACATCACAAGCAAACAGCAAAATCACTTGACTCTATGTATAAACTTTTTGAATAATTTGGCATGATTAATATAATTTTGTGTTCATAAACATAAAAATGTAAATAGATATTAAATGTGTTTCATTTACATACTTGATTTATATAATTTACATGTGCGAATTTATGCAATGTATGTATGTTTTTGCTAACAATAATCACATACTATCAAGTGGAAAAATTAATACTATACTTGTGACAATATCAAATTTTCTAGGGCTTAGCAACTACAATGCTAAGGGCAAAATGACTAATATTTGAATAGAAGTTATATGATTTTACACAATTCCTTAGCTTTAACTCAGCTCCACAGAAATATGGTATAGATTCCTGTATTTATACAATTTAAAACTGGCTTAATAAAGTACTACAACAAAATGACATATTTTGGATTATATGAAAAGAGTTATTCATTGCAGATGTGGCTAAAAATTTTAGGATATAATTTTCAAGTGTAACTTAATTTATGTTTTAATAAAAAATCTTGATTTTAGATGCATTTCCTAAACATTTTAACTTATATTAAAGTCCAGTCGGGGCTGGCACTGTGGCGCAGCAGGTTAACGCCCTGGCCTGAAGTGCCAGTATCCCATATGGGCGCCGGTTCTAGTCCCAGCTGCTCCACTTCCAATCCAGCTCTCTGCTATGGCTTGGGAAAGCAGTAGAAGATGGCCCAAGTCCTTGGGCCCCTGCGCCCACGTGGGAGACCTGGAAGAAGCTTCTGGCTCCTGGCTTCGAATCTGCGCAGTCCCGGCCGTTGTGACCAGTTGGAGAGTGAACCAACGGATGGAAGACATCTCTCTCTTTCTCTCTCTGCCTCTCCTCTCTCTGAGTAACTCTGACTCGCAAATAAAAAATAAATAAATCTTAATAAAAAAAGTCCAGTCTATTTGTGATTTTCTTCAGCTTTACAATAACATCATTTGGAGAAGCTTATTCTAGAAAAATGAGTGACATGCACGAGGATTTGTGTGGAATGTTGTTCAATGAATAACAAAAAAAGTACAAAATTAAAATTCCTTTTTAAAAAAAATGAGCAGGTAAGTATAAAATAACTCATCAATATGACCATGCCACATAGTTGTTTAAGGAATCATTTTTCAGAAAAATACTTTAGGGGGAGAAAAGCATTCTTCACAACAAGCATGGAAGAGCGGAGTACTAAATAAAACATAATTCCAATTTTGAAAATGCTTTTCATACACAAAGAGCTAAAAGTCTAGAAAATAAATATGTGGGGTCTTTAAAAAGTTCACAGAAAGCAAGCATTATGAAAAACCTGCACAAGTTTTAAAAATATTTTGCACTTATCTTTTAATTGCATTTTCCACAAACATTTTGAAGCATCCTTGTATACCAAAATGATAATAACAACTACTTTGAGGGATAAAATAATAGGTCGTTTTCATTTCTTCTTTAAATACTCAAGTTCAAATTCTTTATAATGGCTATGAATTGCTTTAATAACTACAAAAAAAATCCAGTCCACATAATTTAAAATACTTGTTGAAGCCTGATCGTCCAAATGACTCCAGCAGCTTCAGCCCCAGCAGCTGGCGCCCTGCTGCTTTTCTTGGGGATGCTTGGTTATGCGGTCATGCGCAAAAGTCTCATGTTCCCCAAACCTGGATCATAGATACACTATTGAACACACTATCTCGCAAAAACAGATATAAAGAGAAAGGCCCTGAGTACTGAACACTGTATGTTAAATATTTATTCTAATTACTAATAACAACAATTAATTACATCTAAAGGATGCTTTAGAAAATAAGAATAAACTGGCTTTATACCAAGTCCCTAGCTATCTGAGGTTCATTCAGGTCTCAGTTTAACGATTATTTACATTCAGTATAAACTAATTTACTGTTATTATCATTTTTATTAACATCATCAATTTCTCTTATTCACTTTCACACATTCAAGGGGAAATAACAACACTAATTTTCCAGCCTATAATTTGTATGTAACCACCAAGCCTAGTGTACAAGTCTCATATGAAATTAATTCTTTCTTCTTTTCATTGTTCTGGGTTCATTCTTAAAATGAAATTTCAAATTGTTTATTTCTCAAAACACAAAACCTCCTGCTTCAGACTCAGTGCCCTGTGATCAGAGAAGAAGCTAATTAACGTGGATATTAAGTTTTCTTTGACATAAATACATGCTATTCAAAAGTAAAAATGCTTCTTTATCTTTTTTTAAATTTTTACACAAGTACCAGGTGATAGCATCCATAAACACCAACACTAATCCTATCGATATTTTTAAAGGCTCCTTTTGGCTCAAAATGAAGCAATATACTGGGACTTCAACAAAAGTAGGAGCTGGGCTGTGAGAAACTATAATCCGAATATGCTAAGAAAATGTAAGCAAAAAATTGCAAATAAAACTGCTTATATTCATGTAACTTGTTTGGCGACAGCCGTAGAGCATAAGGAAAGCTGCTATAGCTCATAACAGCATCTTGTAATAAAACAGCTCTATGCATCCCTCTCAGACTGCTCGGTACCCAAATCTCATCAGATGGCTGAGTAAGCAGTACACTTCGGGACAGTAAATCTGTTTCCAATATGGTCTACATTCACAGATAGGCGCTTTAGTATTCATCCTAAGACACTTCCAGCTAAGCACTTATAAA